GGGGGGGAAGCGTTGTGGTATCCTTGGTAGAACCAAACTGACCAATAATGGTGTTACACACGTGAGTTCACCCTGACTTGAGCATCCTGTGAGAGTGTGGGACAGGAGAGGAAACCTAAATTCATGAGGTGCAAAAAGTGGATTGCTTGCTTACACATTTCTCCTCGTGTGCCCTATATTCTGCCTGCATATTAGCACAGGTAAAGCCACAAATGCCCTGTACTCCCTCAGTGTTGGGCTCCCCACACAGCTCTGTCAGTGCCTCCCTGCCTTATCCACAGCATGCTCTTCTTTTCCTAGATAGAACAGTGGGACAGCAGTTGAGAAAGATGGGCAGGGAAAACAGATTTCAGGCACCTAACCAGAAGCTAGCAACCTCTCTGCTTCTTTGCCCCTTTGAAGTGCTAACTTAAGATTTCTTACCTCTTCCTCCCTGGTCAACTACGCAGGAAAAAAGAGGTAGGGTCCATCTGTATATGATATTATGGCAAACACTCTCTGTTTCCTCACTTTATGCAGGATCTGTCCTTTCCACCTTTGTTGTTTCCCTCCCCTCCATTGGTCCCTCTATCCAGATGCTACCAATGTAGGAATGTTTAGATTATTACATTTAATGACTGATTAAACCCCGCAACCTGAAATTTCCTCAAAACTCACCTCCCATCCCAAGTCCCCAGTTAAAGCAATGGCAGTTATGAGAACATCTGCTATTTGTGCCACTGAAAACACACTGTTTTGGCATCTCAGCATAAGGCTCACATAGGATGGAATCTCTTTAAGACCAACACTGACTTCAAATAATACAGCCTTAGATGTTTTGACTCCCCTTTCCCCAAAGCAGTAGTACCCTGTGTGGCCATGGTGTGGCACACTTACCCAAAAACAGGTCCCAAGGACCACTTGTGTGGGGAGGTGCAATAGATGGATCTTTTAAGAGAATACCAGGATCTAGAGATGATTAGAGAGGAGTTAGATAAGAAAACCCCATTTTTTTCAGCTTTCAACTAAAAAAAACTGTTAGGAAGAAGACAGAAATCCATTATTCCCATGGAGAGTGCAACAAGAAGAAAAATCAGCTTGATTTGCAGCCAAGGGAGATTTTGCTTAGATAGCAAGAAAACTATCCGGCAAGAAAGATGTGCAAGCAAGCGAACAAGCTACCTAGGGAGACTGAAACCTTGTCATCATGGACATTAAGAACTGTTTAGACAAACACCTATCAAGGGTGGTCTTATGTACCTGATCTTGCCTCACAGCAGGGGGATGGATTAAGTGATGACATGTGGTCCCTTCTGGCCTGATATTTCAATGATTCTATCTGGCTGGGGTGCATTGTAAGGAACAAGGGAGGTCCAGCACTTCAATGCAATTATTATTTAAAAGCACACACACACTCAAAACTCTTCCTCCTGCACCTCAACCTGAGGAATAAATGACCACTGGTGATGGAAAGGTTAGCATTGAAATAGGGCAGGGCATGTTATACGAGCCTTGGAACTCTTTCACAGGTACCAGATGGGAGTGAATATTGTCAATATAGGGACAGCCAGAGCACAGCAGCACACCAAGAGTGCCAGCGTGCATACCACACCCCAGACTTATTGTGCCAGATGGTGAAGGTAAGGTATGACCAGGACACAGGCTCCAGGAGTGCCTCCCTCATCTAAGGAATGGGCACACAGACTGCTGTCTCCCTGTAGTCCCTCCCTCCTTCTTTCCCCACTGCTATGATGACAGTCAGTCAGTGTGGTTGCCTAACAGTCCACTACTAGCTAAGAGAATTCCCACCCATGGCAGGGAGGAAGGGAGGGAGGGATGGAGATGTGGGGAAACTTCTTTGCATCCCACTACTCAGAACCCCCTCATCAGGTCACTCCAGCTAGTCATGTCCTCTCCCACCCTGCTTGAAAAATAACAACGATAATAAATGCATGAAAATGGCGGCATTGTGTATGTGGTTTGTTTCCAGTTGTGTGTTCCTCTTCTTACTCTTTCTCTTTCCTCCTCTCTGATGTAACCCCCCCCCCTCCCCACAAACCAGTCTTGTCAGTCCATCATGCCTGCATGCCCGGACCGGACCGGACCGGACCGGGGCTCACTTGCCGTAGACACTCTCATCACTGTAGGCCACATAGAGAAAATAGTCCTCCTCATGGTTATCCTAAAGGTGGCAGGGGAGAGAAAGAAACAGATGGAGAGAGGTCAAAGCTGACATTCACCTTACATGCAAGTCCCACCCTAGGGACCCCTAGAACAGCACGGGACAAGAAAGGTGTTTTTTCTGTTTCTCACTTCCTTCCTAGAGTCTCAATGTCATGCTCTTCTCTGTGGTCAATTACAAAAAGGTAAGTTCTCTCATTCACAAAAAATAATCCTCTCCCAGAGGCTGACAGAAGGATAAAAATGATTGTTCCATTCATGTGTCATTGGCAAGCTGCAATGAAGAACATGGCGGGCACAGGGTCTCATTTACCAATCTGACACTTGGCACCAGAGTCCTGACTCTGAGAATGGCTGGGACAGCAGGGAAGCCAACAGAAGCTACAGTCAGCATCTTTCAGAATAAGACCTTTAGATCAGGTAGAGCAACTGAGGACATGTTACAAGTAACTAGTAGCTCTTGAGGACCTTGGGGTTTTACAAATGTTTAAATCTGCAGCTCCACTGAATATTCTCCAGTGGGAATAAGCATTATTAGGGAGCTAGAGAGAAGCCTACTGTCTCATATGTGATATCTCAGTTCTGACAGCTAGCATGTCCCCTGGGGTGCCCAGGTGTGAAAATTGGTCTTAGCATATTCATTTTTTGTCAGATTTTTCAAATTTAGGTGGAGCCTCTTGGTAGAAAATGATGTGCTGGATGAGACTTGAGAGAGGCCCTGGCTGCAATGCCACTTCCAAAACAAAGGGAAATGCAGGGCAACTTCCCTCCTTCAAACAGATTCATCCTGTTGTCTGAGTCAACAAACCAGGCTTGTTAGAGCTAAAGCCATCAGGGCTCACAGAAATCATTCTCAGGGACAAATTACATGATTTTAAAAGGGACCAAATGGTATCGAGTGCCAGGGGTTCTGTAAAGATTGGCAAGTGAAAAGCAGACTTCCTTAGGAGGTCTTCACTCACAGATTTAAGACTAAAAAACAACAATAAACTCAACATGTTTGTCTAGATACAAAGAATGAACTCTCACAAAATTTTCACTCATCATAAAGTTCTGTCTGCCCAGAGCTGTTATGAAAATGTCTTTGCTTAATAAGGAAAGCCAAAGAATTGGTTCTCCAGCTACTCTTTCCTTCAGAGCTGTGAACAAATGCTTATTTGTAGCAGGCCACTATTAAAATATTAGCAGCCCATTAGGCCTCCAGGATTCTGAGAGGTTTCTCCCAGCCTGGGGCTCTAATCACTAGGTCACCAGGCCTGCCAAAAAATTGTGCTGGAAGAACTGGGATGAAATTTGCCCTGTAACAATGCTATTGACATGGTGGGGAAGCTGCACAGCTTCGTAATGTAACATTCTTACAGTGTGCATGAATTTGCTAATACAAATATTAGAAATTGTACCCGCCTGCCAACCTCTTCCAAGCCTGCTGAGCATAACAACAGAATGGGACAATCCCACAAAAGCAAGCGGAAAACAGGCCATGGGCACAGTGTTGCACTTGAAGAGGCACTGCAGGAAAACACGAGTCATACGGTGCAGTCACACAGAGCAAGAGGCCCGTGGAAAGATGTCAGCTGCACTCACCAAGCAGACAATTACTTACTTGGGGGCAATAAATTGAAGAGATGGGTGAGACTTACCTCGTACAACTGGCCCATGGTAGCACTGGTGGGAGGAATGGTGTTATTGACAAAGAAGAAAAGGGCATCCTCTGGCCTCAGGTGGATCCGCTTTCGGATTAAGAAGTAGAACTGGCCAACTGAAGGATGAGGAAGAGAAAAAAAAAAGGGGGAAGTGATTAAAACTCAAGGATCAGAGAGAGAGCACCCAGAGAATATAGCCAATGCACATATCCCTGAGCCAGTACAATTTGATATTAAATTGTACATCCCCTACTATCTCAGTCCTAGGCTTCTCAAACAGTTCTGCCAGTTCCCTTCAACCCTGCCCTGCAGTCCTCCTGTTATCCCAGTCCCAGGCCGCTCAACCAGAGGCTTGATGCAGGGATTATGTGTTTAAGAAAAAGACCAATTTGTGAGTCAGTTGCTCCCACAACTTTCCCCTGAAATGCCCTCGCCCTCAGTACATCTGACCCCTTGGAGGAAGAAACACTAAACAATGACTGACATCTTATTATCAGAAAGCATAAGTTTAGCCAGAAGACAGGCCCTAAGGTAAAAAGTTCAGTGCTACATCTAAAATTTCTAGATTTCAAGGCTGGTCAGGGCTTGGTGGGGTCCAAGGTTGTCTCGCTGCAGACAAAAAGATCAGAAGCAATATTTCAACAGACGTTCCAATTCCAATCTTCTTCAGCAGAATTCAAATCATTTCGACTTACGAGTTTTCCTTTGGGCCCAGTTTATTTTCAGTTTCACCATAAAAACAGACCGCAGGCATTATATAAAGACTGGGAATAAATGAACAATGCAGAAAGGGAAACAGAACCCAGAGATAACAAGCATTCCAGGAAAGACCAGAGATTCACCCACATCCATGGTCTACTTGCAGCTTTCCCAGGGCTGTCCAGTGCTTAGATTACTGCAGTATCTCTATTTTCTCTCTTACTGGCTCGGACCACTGGATTCTCCTACATGTAGGCTTCTATTCGCAGCTTTTACTTTATTCTGGCACTCAGTGCTTCTCCATGAGGAGGGGAAGAATCAGCCCTACTGAGCACATGACCAGCTTAATCGTTAAATCCTTTCGGTTGAAGGTCCTTGTATATTTTCCCTTAGTGTCATGGCAGATGCTACTCTCACTCATAAAACACGTTTAATCCATACTCAGTATTTGCTTAAACCTTGTTCCATGGGAACGAGTTCCATGGTTAATTATAAACTGCAGGCCGGGGGGGGGCAGCATTTCCTTTAATTGATTCATAATATTTCCCTTTTCACAGTCCAAAATAGAAGCAGGTTTAACCACACACAGCAACCAACCCATGGTCACTTGGAAGTGGAACTTCATGGCTGTCATTATGCTACAAATCAAGCAGCATGAAGAATTTCACGGTGGGGCTATTTTGAGAACTGACAAAACAGAAGAGGAATATTTTCCAATGACAGTCTTTGGCTACTTTAGTTCAAGATAAATCAGGGGTGGACAATTATTTCAGGTGGAGGGCCGCTTACTGAGTTTTGGCAAGTCATTGAGGGCCACACAACAGGCAGCCAGGGGCAGAAATATATTAATTTTCTAAATTTTTTAGGGGTCCCACAGGCCAGATAGAATGGCCTGGTGGGCTGCATCCGGCCCGCAGGCCGCATTTTGCCCACCCCTGAGATAAATCATCTTGGGCTGTTAGTTCTATCCAAGTGCATGTTACACAGCGAAGTTATTCTTATTACAAAAGAAGTCACCAGTGACACATACCCAGTGCCATCATAAGAATACCAAGAGGGCCATTCATCAGATTTCACAGTACTTTGTGTACTGTAATTAAACAGACCAACCCACTTGTGAAATTAATTTGCGCAATGATGGAAGATGGGGAAGCTGAGGTAAGGTAGTGTTAAGAAGCATCCAAATCAGCAGCAGAGGTGAGAAGAAAACCCAGGAGTCCTAACTCCTAGCTTAGAACTAGATCAGAGGTGGGCAATTATTTTGACTGGAAGGCCACTTAATGAGTTTTGGTGAGCTGTCAAGGGCTGCACACACAAAACCGTTCAGAAAAATATAATTTTAACAAATCATAGATTTAAAAAAACCAAATCATATACTAAAGACCAAACATCTACTATAAATTTTTTAAATTTTATTTCAAAAATATTTTTGTCCTGATTTGTGTGAATGTGCATAGAGTATATAGAAGCGATTGCATAATGGGTCAGAATAAAGTCTTACTTTTTGTATACTCGGGGGGGGGGGGGTTTGTTTTGTGTGTGGGGGGGGGGGGGGGGGGGTCCACATGTGTGTAGGGGATTTCCTGCATGCTAGGTCCTAGGTGCTATCTGGGGGTGAGGGGAGAGAGGTAGGAGATGCGTGCAGCAAAGCTCGCCCAAGCGGTGTGGTTTGGTGCAGCACAGGTGGGGTTGAGCTATGCCTGCTCCTGCCCAGGGCACCCTGCGCTGTGCTCCCACCCGCATCCATCCCACATCCACCAGTGGCACCACCCCAGCCGCAGCCAGCATGCACAGGTTTCCAGTGGGACCACTGCAGCTGCTGCTGCAGCTGCCTGGGTACTGTTTGGCTACCATTGCCTCCCGTGGCCCCTTCACCTTCTTCTGCCCCTGCTGTGCCACTCCAGGCAGCAGGTAGCACAGGGCACCATATGCCCAGCCAGATGCGGAGGGGAGTTGTAGCCAGGTGGCTCCTGCCCCAGCACATGGGGCTCCAGCTCTAACTCTCAGCCGCTTTCCACCCACTTGGCTGCCTGGCATGATGAGCAGCCACCTACGAGCCGCTGAGTGGGTGGCAGGCAGCCCCACCAGGAATCTATGTGCATTGCCCGGGGCTGGGGCAGTACCATCAGTTGGCACAGGGCAGGTGTGGGCAGGAGCATGGTGCAGGCTGCCCTGGATAGAGCTCTGCTGGGGCAGCCACAGGCCAAATACAATCAACTGGCAGGCTGGATCCAGCCTGTGGCCTGTATTTTGTTCACCCCTGTACTAGATGCACAGCATGATGGGGGGTTATTCATTCTCCCAGCAAAGAAGATTCTTGTGCTGATCCCATTGGGGTACAAAGGACTCCTGGGAATGTCTCATTACAAGACATAAGGAAAAGGGGGAGGGGTTTGTTACCTGTGAGGTCAGAAGGCACAAGGTACTTCCTCTTGTCAAGGTCAGGTACTCTGGCTTTGGGTGCCTTCTCAACAATAACCTGGAGAGAAAGAAACATAGAGTGATAACTATAAGAAAGACAACAGAAACACTAGCTGCCCTTTCAGGGAGATGGTTTTTCCAGGCCCATGGAAATCATCTCAAGTTATGCTGAAGAACCAACTTCTGTGAAGCAGGAAGTTGTATAGCAGGACTGCGGGGCAACATGTAGAACTGAATGGAGAGCTCAGGACTGGGACAGAAGGTATCATTGTACAGCCTGGAGGAACAGATTTAAGGATGAAACTTAAGACTGTAAAATAAGAACAGATTGATCACCCATGAAGTCCAGTATTCAGCCTCCTATGGCAGCCCATGCCACATTCTTCCCAGGAAAAAGAAAAAAACCCTAAAACCTTACAATGGAATATCCAGCTCGCTGGGGAAATTTCTTCCTAACCCCAATTAGCAAATGGGTAGTTGATATCCCAAACATAAGGGAGTATATTCTTTATAATGGTTTGATCCTGCCTGGTATAACTGTGGATGTTTTATTATCCATGTAAATGTGTATTCCTACTAGACTGTTGACCTCCCTCATATCCTGTGACACCAAGTTCCACTGGTTAATTACCAGTATGTGCTGTACAAAAGAATCTGAGGTATACTATGTATGCTAATGTATATTGTATGCTAATGTATATTAGCAAGCAAAGAATGATGGAAATTATATCTCTATCCAGAGCTAGGTAGAAGTATTTTAAGTCAAATGTGATCAATACTCCCAAAGCTGAGAGAGATCTGGCAAACTCAGAATATGATTAGATTTTCTTTTTGGACAGCAAGCCATTGAAAAAGTGGGAAATAATTTTTCCCTTGGAATTCTATGCCATGTCCAAGAAACCACTCATGGCTATTTGAGACAAACTGGGCCCACAATAGAAATTATGTGGCCTGTCATTCCAACCAAAATGGCGGAAGCCATTTTGACTCATTTTAACAGACAGAGGCTGAAATCCCTCTGCTCTTCCTAATTCAGAGAAAGAAAACAAAAAAAAAGGAAACAAAGAATCTTAGACTCCAACATTCAAAACTGTTCTGTAATGTTAAGTATTTGACTTGACATATTTTAGACCCAATTTCCAGGTGTACTGAGTTCTCAGTGCTCTAACTAAGGTCAGTCTGGCTTGAGATGAATTTAATGCTAGAATCCCAATAACTGAGTACAAAGAAAATTACAGGCCAGCGTAAAACAAGGGCATCTGCATAGCTGTCTTCACACTCCTGAATGACTCAGCAGCTGAAATGCATTTATGTTTTTGGGGGGGTTGCATCCTGGGGATGGGGACATGTTTGTGCACAGATACCTGTAAAGACGCCATATTAAATGTGAGAATGACATGGTGAAGAAGGATGATTTGGGGGTCTTGAGCAGCATGAAGAATAGTGGCATTACTACATGGAACTGTGCCATCTGGGAGGAAGTGGGAAAGAACATAGGAGTGAATGACTTCTTCCCTAAGATTTTCCAGACTAAAGAAGAGGAGAAACTTGTAAAAACAACAGTGAACTAATGAACTTGACATAGGTGGGTGAATCTAAAGATGACTTCTGGGGAGAGAGGAGTGTAGGCCTCAGGGTAAGTAAGGAATAATATGGGGGTGACCAAGCCCCAGAAAGTGGTGCGATTCAGAGGTTGAGAGATTTCAACTTGCACGGAGGTAAGAAGAAGATGTGGAGATTTGGCTGGCTGGATATCCATTGAAGCCAATTCTTCTGGATGATATACCACCAGGACTATGTTCAGACAAGCATGGACATTTCATTCCCTGGGCACAACTATCAGCAGGACACCTTGTGCCACTGCTAGTTGTCCCCAAAGAATGCCTGTGTCATACGCCCTCTGATGTGTGGCAGGTTACCCCAGGTGGGTTAAGGGAGGCTGGGGCCAGCAATTGTAAGGCTTCTGGGGCCAGCACCTGGAGTCCTGGGGGCCAAGGAAATTGCAGCTGTGACGATCCTCCAGTTTGAAGCCTGGCCGGCAGCCGGATCATGGCTCCGGCTGGCCAGGCTCCAGTTTTGGGGAGCACACGCTGTCCCCATGTGCACTAATCTGCTTTATTTCTGCACAGGTTTTTTGACCCCTGGATCTTCAGGGTCCAAACCCCCCACCCCCTGAACTGCAAGCCAGCACAACAGAAAACACCTGAATGCAAGGTGCGTGACACTGCAGATGGGTGGTCTGCACTGCCACATACTGTACGGCCACGCTTGTCTGGACATGGCTCAGGTATCCATTCTCAAGACCTACCACCTTCCCCAAATAATCCCACGCCATTCACAGACCATTTATGCAACCTTATCTCCTCTCCTTTCACTCTCTGCACTGGTTCTGATCCCAAAGGTTTGAAAACCTGACTGTAGAAACACAGAGACAGACATCTGGACAAAGGGGAGGGGCAGAAATATCAAAGGGTAAATACAGGTCATCTCTGGATCTAGCTACTGCTGGGCGGTAATGCGGGACTGTGCCAACAGTCTAATCTCTGCTAAAATGCTGGGATGCACCAGGGCACTGCAGTGTAAGCAGCTGAAGGGACGTCATCACCAGAGATTCAGCTGTCAGGAAGGGTAGACATAGGGATGATGCAGGGAGCCCTGTCTGCCATTTCTGGTTATTTTCTATGACTGTGTCAGTGATTTGCAGGAAGTTATTTCCATCACAGCCAAAGGAACCTTTTCCTGTTACTCCAGACATAGGCCTCCCCACATGGCTTTTCTCCTTCGTCTCAAGCTGTGGCACATGTTGCTATTTTAGACCTGGATCCTCCGCACATCTCTGTTGGAGTCCCTGAGCCTTGACCTCCCTCCTCACCTCTCGCTATTCTGGTCTTTAGTGCTGCACAGGGTGCTCTCAGACACATCCATCATGATCTTCAGCACAGCCTGCTATTCTAGTGCTCACACTCCTTCACAGCTCCTGACTTAGTGCCCCCTGCAATTTTGGTCCAAAGACATGGAAGCCATCACCTCACTCCTGACTAGCAACAATACTGCACCTGCTGCTCCAGCCTTGTGGCCCGCACACAGCTCTGCCCATGCACCTGTGCTCCTACTTGTGCAGGTGCAACCAGAAGACTTCTCATAAAAGGGTGCTGAAATGCTGCAAATAACGTATGATTCAGTGCTCCATCTCCCCCCATTGGATCCATGGGGGAGAGCAGACTGTTTTAGAAAGCTGTACCCTGAATGGTAAATCTAGAACAGAGGCCTCCAGTGGGGATGAAAAGAAAGAACGTTTTGAAAACATCTAATGAAAAGGGCCAAAGATTACTAATGAGTTCTGCTCACCATTTCCATTTCTTAATTATTATTAATAATTAGAATGACAGAAGCTCTCCAAAGGGATGTAAGGATGAGGAAGCGCAGTGTGGTGGGGAGACCATGACCTTGTTTTCTATGCAATGGCTTTTTCCACAAGGAGACTACAGAGGAGGGCAAACAATTGAGGGGTTGCTTCAATTATTTCTCAGAGCCAAGGGCAAGAAGGAAGCAAGACTGCACTGAAAAGAGGGGCTGGAAGAGAGCACACTATTTAGAAATAAAGGGAAGACACCCAAATTACATTGTGTAGTTTTCTGCGAAGGATTCCCCTTATTCCACTTTCCAATGCTTTCCTCCATTTTTGTAGAGCAAATGGTTGGTTCCTTCCCCACCCCCAACCCCATGTGCACAGACTGCCATAAAAAAAGATTAGCAGCATTTACCCTACCACAGTGCTGCGGCTGATGGGGGAGGGGAGGAGGGGCAGCTTCCGCCCCATCACCAGTACAAACCCATCAAAGCCTACAAATCTCCATCTGGATATAACCCTATAGACCTGGATCTAGATGTCTAAGTAACATGACTAGGATCCAGGTCTAGAAAAGCGGCTCAGTCCACAGAAAGGAAGATT